AAAAAAAAAAAAACAATAAGTAGTTTAGTACTCACGATGGTTGAACTTCGTGAGTACTGTATTTATGCACGACGTTCTCACGAAGTTCAACCATCGTGAGTACTGAACTATTTTTTTTATTTTATTTTTTTATTCGTTTTTCAAGTTTTTGTTTAGTGAACTATATGAATGCAGTACTTACGTTTATAGAGCTTCGTTCTTCCTACGGGTCTGGCGACCCCCTTGTTACCTGAGAAATTGTGTTTTTATACTCATGTCATGTTTAAAGAACTTCGTTCTTACCGTGGGTCCATGACCCATTTATCCCCCCTGGTTATTTTTTTAAAATAAATCTCTTCTGTATTAGTAGTAAATAAACCTCTAACGAGAATTACAATAGAAAAATAAAAAACTATTTGCAATGAAAACCTACCGTAAAAACCTTTGAGGTGTTTAATGTACTATATAATATAAGCGGAAATACATTAAAAAATTGTTACTGTATTTCGGAGCGTCTGCTGTTCCGAAATCAATTTTCCAAGTTATATTCGTGTTTTTTGCAATACAAAAATTACTTCTACATCACAACTCATTTAGGAAAATGTTATACTGTTAATAACCTATCATTTAATGCAAAAAAACATTGATTATTTGAGGAGGGGGAAATTCCGAAAAAGGACCACCGCAAATTTTCTGAAAAAACTCTCTAGACTAAACCAGGGAAAAGCAATAGAGCATAGCGTACGCCCTTATTTACAATGTTTTAGATTGTATTGCTCCATTGCATGAAAAAATATGAAAATTCAAAGCATAAAATATGAATGCGCCGACACGAGGTGTGTGTAAAATTCGCGCAAGGACAATCAATAAAGCACTGGAAATTCCGAGCGAGCACGCAAATATAATAAGGAAGAAAAAAAAGCACTCAAGAGCAACGTACATTAACTGGAGCACGGAAAAAAGCGCGCACGAATACCATATAACGTCCGCCTACGCGCAAGCTCTCGTGGGTATATATCGCTACATCTTTTTAATCACTTTTTCCTATGTACATGATCCGGAAAAGTCAGTAAAAAATTTCGAGAAAAATTAAAAAAACTATGAAATCAAAAATCATCGAGAGTGCCGAATACGACGGTATGTGGCAGGACATGAGGTCCTCGTCAGCGGGTTACCTCTGCAACACGGGTATCGATCCACCTTTAGATCTGCCGCAGTACCTACATTTGCAGCAGCGCAGTCTCTTTTTCTCTTTTGCTTCCACCCAAAGAGGATGGAGAGAGAAAAAAAGCATGTGTAAGCGTACCTGCCGTATGTTTTTGAGGACGTTTGATTTTTTTTTTTTTTTTCGCCTTCTTTGACTAACAGGTAGGGCTGTGTTCCGAAAATCGAACTCGTCACTTACCAGTAACACAAAAATGACGCGAGATTCCTTTAAGAGTTCTTAAAGTTACTGGTTGGTACCGAGCATATCTTTCGGAGCACAGCCTATACAGATCTTTGGGTTTTACACATGAAAAGTTCCGAAAAAACAAATCTTAAGCCTACTTACCAGAAGCAGCTCGTGTAGACGCAATCGGAGCGCTTTGGGAACAGTAACAGCAAGGGAGGCTTCACGTTGTTCTCCCCAGCCATTTTCTTTGTTTACAAACTTTATCGGCCGTCTGCTCAAAAACTATATATATATATATAAATATATGTTCTCTATGGTGTGTTCAGCGTTGCCTGACAACTACAGGTATCCTTTATAATTGGAAATACAATGTAGATGCAAGGAATATCGAACTGACTTTAGATCCTTGTGAGGATACTGTTAATCTTATTTTGTTCCGCAGTTTTAGGAGTAAACATATACGCGTATTATAACGCACTTGCTGATAGTAACGGGCTATGCCAAATAACTGAATTACTAAATAAGCAGAATAAGGTTGTGCGCGCGTGCGTGCACACGCACTCTATATATACTAACTACTTCTGCTTGCTGCGCGTTCGTTGTACTGCTTGCTACTATAAAATACTAGAAAATAAGTCCATGGGATTGATTTACTGATGATACCTAATGATATGGTGCGATATAGGCAAACACTTGTCCTTATATAGATGAACTCATTTTTAAATTGAAACGAGCTATGTTATACCAACCGTCGGCTTTAGGTTAAGTTCAAGTCTTAGTCGTATCACTGAGGGTTTGAGAACCTGAACACAGATGGCGCTTGATAGCCCAAGCTTTCTAGAGACTAGATCTAGAGAGGGTCAAGGGACACCGGGCACTACTGGGATAGGGTCGCAGATGCAAGAGCTTTTCTTGATTGGCTCTGCCATATTCAGGACCAACACGCACACAATCCTAATCAACCAATCATTGGCTCGAAATCTCATATCTGCATCTGAAAGCTTCATAAGTTGAGTACTAGCGCCACTGTCCTAAGGTTAATCTCCGTAAAGTGGCGAGTTTCAAAAATGGGGAGAGAAGGCTCGTGACTATCAGCGCCACCAGCTTTTATATCCTTACACATTGTGGCGTGATTCCGAAGTTTCGAAAAAAGGCTCTCAAGCGCCGATCCCAATACACTAGACGGACAAATATTCGCGATTCGCGACCCCTACAACACAAGGTCCTTATGCTGTAGCCCAGCATACAGCCTGTAGGAGTCGCGAGTCGCGAATCTGACTGTCTAGTACACATTAATATATGTTTGAGCAATATTCGCTTTGAGCGCAATTCCAAAATCGCGCCCCCACTGGAGACTTTGAGAACGATTGGTCGTAATCGAGGTAATCCTTTTATTTATTATGAAATCGAGCTTCCGGCTCCATTCACCAGGTGGCCAACCCTTAAATATCGCTTTTCTACAAGCATATTAAAATCAATTCGTAGTACTATCCTTTTCTAATCACGAGCAATCGTTCTCAAAGTGCCCAGTGGGGGCGCGATTTCGGAATTGCGCTCAAAGCGAATACCTCGGCGAATACATAGATATACAGTTTCTGTGTAGAGTCCAGAACATGGCAGCCCATCTGCCACACTCGAGCCGTACCATGAAATTATATTTCCGTCGTCGATCATCGAGGTTAAGCAGCATTCGGGGCGGTTAGTACTTGGATGGGTGACCGTTCAATTCTTGCCGTTTCGCCTCTGTTGTTCGCTTCGTGGATTGATTGACTGTTTCTCTGTCCCTTTGACATCGTGAGCGGAGAGGATTGCCAAATTTCTGTCCCGTTGTCTAAGTCTGCAGCTTAGACACCAGGTCAGAAATGAGGCAGATACACCAGGCTGTTCCGGATCAGGTTTTTCCTACGGTAGATTTTCCGAGATTTTCCTGATCCACATGACAATTATCATGGGCGAATGCGGAGCAGTTGTTAGGGCCCCTTCCCCTTCCCATACCATCCCAATTCCTTCCTAATCCCAAGTGCTAAGTGCCCTCAGTAGAGCCTCTACAAGAGAGCCGGACGTAAAGCACTAGAAAAAAAAAAACTATATTTCCGTACATCGGCCTATGTTATAACAAAGGCCCGCAAAGCGAAAAAAAAGTCATATGGTACGGTCCCTGTCCCTTGACCCTCTGTACAAGCGTTCTAGAGTGGGTATAAGGCCACGGTCACGTAGAGAGCGTAACGCGTACCCTCAAATGGTTTCGCGGTACGCGTTAAGGTAGTTGTACAGGTACCGCAAGAGTCATGAAACTTTTTGATTTGTGTAGTAGAACGATCTGGCAACGTCGCTTTACGGTCATGTGTGTGTGCCTGTAAGTGTGTGTTCAGAGCATCATAGAAGGAGCACTTCGTTGATCAGCTGTAGCAAAAGGAGAAGCGTGTGTATCTTTTTTTTAGTTAATAAAATAGTCATGCCCAAAGAAAAAAATAAGAAGTTTTTTTGGAAAGGTGTAAGGGTAAGCGAGAAAGTATATAATGCACGAATTAATCAGCAAAAAGCCGGCCGAAACGTGTGGAATGTTCGCCGTGAAAATTGTAAACAAGCGCGTAACCTCAAAACCGCAGTCAAATCTACACTTGCATCACGCGAACCATCAAAATACATCAATCTGAAAGACGAAGGTTGTAAAATTGTGAACATGGAAATGATTGCACATCAANGTTTTATTATTTATATATTTATTTATCATATTTATTTAAAATATACGTCCAATAACAATAATTGAAAATCTATAAGAGAGATTGCAGTAATCAGGATTTACGAGCAATCATATGTACCTATTTACCTTTCAAACCGCGCGCGTAATATCAGATTATGCGGCGTTGCCATATTTTCAAATAGCGTCTCACAAATGCACGTTCTTCACGCTTAACTATTTAATTACTTTTCTCACAAGTACCCTTGGAAGGTTTTGAAAGCGAATATATAATTGTCATTTAATTATCTTTCTACTGTCCAAAGGGCATCAGAACCTATCCTATATTAGCAACGATATGAATGATAATATACAGAGAGCTCCGCGGTTTCCCATAAGACGCCATGTTGAATTGGCATGTAAACAAAAACTCAAGGCATGCAAATAATTATGAATATCTCCCTTTATAGGTACCCTCGAGTCACAAAAATTTAGATTTCTTATTTTTATGCATTAATCTACCATCCTGCGAAATATCATAATTTTCTATCCTATATTTCAATTTGCTGTACAACTACCTTAAGTTCTCCATATGACCGCGGCCTAAGGGAGTGTGGCTAAAGTGTCCGAAAGTCACTGATTGGCTCCACCATTTTCGGGACGAACTGGAAAAATAACAAGTTAATGAAAATGAAAAATATCTCCAACAATTAGCTACCACTAATAGAGGATCGCAATATTTAAAGTTTATCATTATGGATATTCCTAAGAGCGCATTTCTCTCCTTAAATACAATCAAAAGTGGCTATATGTCCTCTGGAACTCTAAATTATCAAATACACAATCATAGATAGTCATAACTAAGTGCGCTCGGTACAGCGGTTACTCATATACAGTTAACCATAAATTCAGGTAATGTTAACTTTTTGATCAAGAAAGACAAACCATGATTTAAAAGGCCTAATAAAATACCATAAATTTGTAGCTTGGTGTATTTCTTAATTTTTAAGTAATAATAATCATAGTGTCATTAAAATCTTGGTAAATTTTCTCTGTTCAATCAATATTAATATCTAAAAACAATATTTTTAATTACACAAAAATATATGTAAGAAACTTCTAGCTGACAAAATCAACTTCGCGCAAAGAAAGAAATATCTTTAGAAAATTATCGAATAAAGAGAAAATTTATTGTTAACAAATAAAATGTACCTCTTAGTCATCGTAGTTCGTCGCTGAACGTCTTTTGTAAAACAAATCAACATCTTTTTAACATAACAAAGCTTGTCATTAATATTAGAACGCGTTTTTCTCATTTTACTACACATACAAGACAGAAAACTTTCACATACTTATTTTACTTTAACAAATTTGCTCGATTGATCCACAACAAAATCTTTTTTGTAATTGTAAAAAAACCTAAATACGTACATACATGCTACTGTAAGTTTATGTTATTATTATTATTATTATTATTATTATTGTTATTATTATTATTATTATTATTATTATTATTATTATTATTATTATTGTTGTCATCAGTTCGTTTATATTATTACAAAAAAGGAAAAGAAAGAAGTTTTTTTTTCTTTCTTTCTCTTTTATAAGATATATTCGTTTTATACGATACACGTTTACATTACTAAGTAAAAATGTACACAAACACATGTTGGACTACTTATGTAAAAAAAAATTTTTTAATTCAAATTCATTTAATTCGAATTCCGAGTGAGTCAGTGGTCGTTACCTGAATATAAATATATGTCACGGTGATCCTATACTTATGCATACTAAACTCAATTTTTGTGGCATAACTCCTATTTGCAGCTTTAAAATTGCAGAAACAGTCTAAAGTATTGCGGTAAGGATAGAATTATCGTTACCATAATTCTTTTTTAAAAATTTCATCTAAATTACCTAAGGGATTCTAAAAATGACAGTAGGTACTGTTGGTTCCAATAGTTACTTGCTAGTTTCACATCACATAAAATATAAAAATAATTTAAAAAATTTTTAATGTTCAAGGTTAAAGTAACGAAAGACTACCCACGACACGTGTTATGCACCGTCAGGTCAACTGTAGGTTGCAACAAACCATTTAGTCTATCGATTTTTGCGTCCGTCTTTACTCTGACCCTGAAAGGACACCTTACAAATTACAGTAGTAAGAAAAACAATAAAAAAAATTTTATGTGCAAGAGTGGATATATAATATTACTCCATTGGGTATAGAGGCTTTACTTGTATATTATTTTTTACTTTTTTTTGTAACAATACATTTTATTGTTAAAGATAGGTCAATTCATCATAAGTACAGTAATTTTTAATATTTATAAAGTAGAAATCACTGTCATGATAAAAGTTAGGTTGCCAAGAGTAAAAAAAACCTAAGCTATGAAATACGATTACCATTCTAGAATAATAATTTTCAAGAATTAATACCCTTTTAAATAACAAAAAAAATTTTACATACCGTTTTTGAGGTGTAAAACATGTTATATACTTTTTAAGGTTTAAACCTTATTCCGTTTAGGGAGCTTTTAAACCCGTTCCCAGTTGACATAATGGCTCCAAAAATTTAGAGAAAATTAAATAAACTTCAAGTTGTTCTTTTGCAACTCAGCCTGGAAAATAGTAACGATATCCGCTCGTAAGGCAATTGAAAGTGCTTAAAACACTGTTATAGTTGCATACAATTTTATTTTTAGTACGACAATCAGGTCAGTTGGTAAAATGAAAGGGTCTCAAATATACTATTAATTGATCCTAATTTTTGACTTAATCGATAATGTAACTTGCCAATTTGAACACTTAAGGACGTTCGGTAGAGATAGAACCCTGTGATGAATCTTTTTGAAATTTTAACCAGACGTTTTGATTTTTGTCACAACGAAGCTGTTAAAATTTTAAGAGGTTTGTCAGTTTCGTTTCCGAGATATTGAATTTCAAAGTTCAGTCATTTTAACACGGTTGCTTATGGGGAAACTTATAAAAACTCGATGCTCTTTGCCCTTACATTTTTATATACTTTCTACATAGCAAGGCATGAATGTATTTGATGTGGGGTTTGCATGAAATACCAGTCAAAAGTCAATATTACTTAGTTTGATTTTGTTAAAGTACGAGTACTAAACAGTATTATACTACGAATGTCATACAAAATGTATGCTGTGCAACAAAAAAAACTTGACCGTTTTTATATCTTGATTTCAGAACTTGTTAAGGCTACAGATTCATTAGGAAGAATACTATTCATTGCCAGTGTGTATTAAGGTTCAGAAATTCCTTACGAAATATGAACTCAATACATCAAACTCACTTAACATTTAAGGTTTGTAAAAAACTATTTTTAAGGGGATATCATAACTTTTTAGGAATAGTAATATACATACGTACTAGACGAGTGATTGCTGAATTTTATTATGGGTATTAGAGGCCATAAAATAATGTCACACGATTATCTACTTGATGACTTCAACTTTCATAGAGAAAAAATAAAATGTTTTCAATTATTAGATTTTTCAATTACTCAATTTATATTTAATTGTTTTACGCTAGTTTTTACCCCAAAAAAATTCCTGTTAGTGATTTTTAACTTCGATAAAATATTTCTTAATAAAATTTTTTAAATATAGATTGAGTATCCAACAAATTTTTTGATATTGAAAGTTTCAAATTAGTAACGAATTTATTTAAATGATTGAGAAAACTTTACATTTCTCCTTTTAACCGACAGTAGATATTCAGCGTTGATAAGGCAGAAATTGGGCTCCTTACACATAGCTAAGTTACTAATTCTATGGGCTCTGTGCATAAAAACCCCCGAGTGCCAACTTGTGGCTGGATGGCGAGTCCACGTGGTTAAGAGAATACACAGAGAAGCATAGTTGCCTAAAGTCAATAATTTTTTTTATTAATATAAAGATATTTCCTAGTGGTGGGGGTCGCGCAACGGTAGAATTGCAGTTCCGTCGATCTCCAAAGTTAAACTGCATTTGGCGCGGTTAGTACTTGGATGGGTGACCGTCTGGTGACCATTCAGGCCTCGCCGTTTCGCATGTGCTCTTAACTCTCGAGGGTCGATTAACTGTTTCTCTGATGCTTCGTCTACGTGATCATACGTGTGACTAAGTTGGTCCAGATGTTGATATACGTATGTAAACACCTGGTCATAACTCAGTTGCACTAATGGCTATATAAAACTATGCTTGTGTA